TAAGATTGATGATTAAAATCAAAAGTTTTTATCACTACAATAAGTATTGAAAGAGTGAATCAAGGGAAGAAACCACGAAGGAAAAGAACCCAGAAGCTTCTCACACACGAAGCAGGAACATAATGAAAAGTAAGGCTCAAGTGACCATTCAGCTGGTATATATACACTTCACGGTCACCGCAGATCAACCATGAAATCAATTATCCCGAACAGCACACGTGACGATAGATTGGGCTGGGTTTTTAGCCTGTTTCCTTGAGTTATTGGGCAATGCTTATTTGGTTGAAATAATATTTCCAACAATTGGGCCAAGCCAGTTTTCATCATTGCCCAAATGTTTAGATGCAATTGACAAGAATGACACACAATCCAACAAATACTATATATAGTCCAGCTTTTCTTTCGTAGCCATTTTAGAAAAGAAAGAAGATCTGATATGGACTTCCTAAGAAATTTAGGTATAGAAAATGTGCAATGACGGAAGATTTCTTCTTTCTTGTTTAGTTTATGAGTATTCAATCCACATAATTTGGTAAAAAAAAACTTGAATTAGCTCAAGTAATGCCCGAAGACTCCCATGTCTTTCTTAGTTGGACCCACCCAACCAAAATTGCGAAGAGCGAGGTGCTAACCACTAGGCACTAGCTAATGCAAATATCTAAAACTTAAAATAAAGGATGCCGAGATTGACAAGTAAAGAAATACGAATAAAAAGGGCATCAAAAATGGCTTCTAACCTATCTCAGAATAGAAGTCACTTTCATCATATCCATGAGGGTCAAGTACATCTTTGTCGAAACAAGATCCAATCTCATGAATATTTTGAAAAGTCACTAAAAGCCGCAAGAAATCGAGGTTTCTATAGCCTTTTCTATTGTGCATTTCTGCATTTAAGCTTCTTCCAGTAGTCAACTTAAGTGCAAGAAAATTGATAAATTTCATCTACAGCAACAACACACAATCTATAAGCCCCCGTTTGAGCCACATTAAAATTCACAATTTCATTCTTCTACTNAATAACTCAATAATAAAATACTAATTAAGGCCCTATTTGGTACACATTACTTTTTTCGCTCTCATTCCTCTACTCATTTTCAACCATACATTTTTCAATAAAATAATATTTTTCATTACATCAATAACTTTTCCTTTATTTTTAACCACACATTCTCCATCAATCTACTATTCAATAATACATTCTTTCAAGAGAATGTGTCCCAAACACACTCATAATCGTATGTCCAAAGCAATATCCCTTTTTCTCCCAAAGGATCCCCTCCATGCCTAAGAACAAGGAAAGGGGCCGTTCAACTAGTACTGTGGAGAACTATGGCAGCAATCGAAACTCAGCACCTTCGACAATAGTAAAAGAAACTCATTTATAAGCTATTGTCAACAAATTTCACAATTTCACCAATATTTTAAAGCAAGTTAATATATTAAATTAAAAATTCTTAAGAAAAATGAAAGAGAGACAAAAAAATGGTTTTAGCTTATTAGTCCTTCTAAGCTTACATTTACTATAGCTTAGAGTACGTAATCGAATTCTTAAAGTAACATAAATTACTCAAATTAAATTAATCTCGTTGATGTTCATTGGACAAATATTACTTCGTTACATAATCCATCCATTTTAACCTACTAACCTAATATGCCAAATAACGTATTTGGATTGTTTATGAATAGCTAGTTGCTTGTGCCTTTTGTTTCAAGATTTTGAAGGCGTGGAAGTTGGGAGGGAAAGAAAAGGGATAAAAGAAAAAAATAAATAAAACGATAAAGAGGGAGAATCTTTAAAACTTTGGATATCAACCATTATTTGAAAATTCATTTTCCTACGTTACTCATTTTCAACCATATATTCAAACAATAAAATATTCTGCACATAAATTCAAAATTTTTCCCCTTTTTAACCACACATTCTCCTAGAAATCACTATTAAGAGAATAAAGTGAGACGGCACATAGTTTCCTGAATCAGGAGCTCATTTTTCTTCTTCTATTTTTCCATTTGTTCAAATCCGATCTAGAATGTTAGCGAAGAAAACAGAAAAAGTAAACCGATAAAACTGAACTCTCTTTCCATAAACGTATTTATACACATGTTTAATTCGCATTTAAACAAAATCCGTGCCTAAAAATTGAAACAAAAAGTTACTAAAATTTCCATTTTGAAAAGTCATCCTGGTTAAAAGTAGTCATCAAAACCCCTATTCGTTAGTTATTTATTTTATGGTAATTGAACGTGGGATTTACCTCTTAACACAGCTATGTAAGATAGTAACTCTTATGAGCAAATCAATCTTGAAACATTTATGTTTATCTTAGTAATCAAATTGAATTGCTTGTTTAAACTTAAGAAGCTCTAATATTATATTAATACTTAAGGTTGCATTATAAAATATATCACTAATTTTTATTTGTTTATATTCACTTCCAAAAATATACTTATCCTAACTCCTCAAATTCCTTTGACTACTATTTTTCTTTTCTTTTCTTTACTTCAATAATTTGAGTCAAAATTTCCAACAAATGTCTTATAAATACTCCAATCTGCACAAGCAGGACAAATTCATGGAATGGTAGCTTGTGAATTTTGTGACTTAGGAAAACTTAGAAATTGAGTCAGTCCAAAATTCGCATGGAACTTCAAGAAGCATATGTTGAAAATTACAGACCTTAATTTTATTCCATCGAGAGCAATCAATTCAAAGAAAGAAAAATAAATACTTAAGAATACGTAAAATTTATAGAGGTTTGCCTTAATGTGAAGCTTCGTCCTCTTTCCAGTAATGCACTATAATGAAAAAAATATTTACAAAAGAAAATTACACTCCGAACAATAATCAGGATCGACGATAATTAGGTTATACAACTCATCAGCATATGAGCTTTTGTGGCATCCAATGACCAAAATTGCAACTAAATGGCTAATTTAACGGTCCCCAAAAAAGAAAATGATCCCAACTCTTTTCTAAAGATTGTCCATAGGCACTTTATTTGACTGGAATATTTCTTTTTCATCCACCTTTGGAAAATAGGTGGGATATTAAAAAAAAAAACTGAAAGGAATAAAGCTACAAACATTAACAAAAAGGAGCAAACAAAACAAGAAATAGAGAATTAATAAAGGAAGAACACAGAAAAATAAAGTAGGTTGATGATTTTAATTTTTGAAACTACCGTATGGCATTCTTTATCATCCATGATCCACCTTAAACGAGCTCCAACTGCCCACCTAATCCACCTATTCTTGTCTACCTTCTCTCATCTTTTCAACAGGTTTTGTTCCCTGTTTATAAGAATAATGTTACTTGTATTAGTTGTATATAAGAAGTTATAGAAAATTTTATAGATAAATGATATGTTAAAAAGAAAGCGAATTTTATTTATTTATTTTTATTTGGTTAAATAAATTCTGACTGAATCGTATCTCGTCACATCATAAAGCACAGAGACAGGAACGAAACGTTTCTTGTAGAAGAGTTGCATGCCAATTTCGTCCAAAAATTTTCTAATCGGAGAAAACACTTTTAGAAAATTATTCAAATATGTTTAAAAATATTTTTTAAAATTTCATAAGTAATTTTTGACTTTTCAAAAACTTCGTCATATCGACCCTTTGATACATAAAGCACATAGACAAGAATGAAACGCTCAAATACTAGTATTAAATCTTAGTTGGTATACTACAATAATAAGAGTTTCAATAAATAGGAAATCAACTATATGAATCTTTCTTCATCATTTCAATTTGTTCTAGGCTAGATCTAAAATTTAAGTTATTTCTTTATTTAAATACTTTTTTTTTTCCTAAAATTAATAGAAAATACTTCCAAAGAAACATAATGGGAAATGAAGACGAGTTCATTGGCATGCATGGCTGTTTCTCCACACATACGAAGAAACAAATCCTACTGACATCGAGTCGCGTGAACTGCACGTGACCAGCGCGCTGTTTTGTCGACGGAAGCATATGAATGGTTACACTGTCCGTGTCTAATCCACAAGCTTGAGTCAATTTGTAAATTTCTCAGTCAACTCTATTGGTTGGGATGTACGTCTTTGAGCAAACCCAAAACTTGTTGCATTGTGGGCCTTTTCCCTGGTGCCTCCGCCGTGCACAAGTACCCAATTCTAAGACACTCGACCATCTCAATCACCGAGTCACCACCGAGTCTCAGCTTTGAGTTGAGCGCGTTCTCAGCTATCCCATCTTTTACTAATCTCCTCACCCAGTTCACAGTCTCATGTGAACCTGATTTACCCGTCAACAACTCCACCAGCACTACACCAAAATTATAAACATCGGCCTCGGTGGAACCACCGGCTCGGTCTTGACTCATTGCACAGTCAGCTATCCGGGGCTCAAAGTCATCCGCCAACAATATATTCGAAGGAACCAAATGTCCATGCACCACTGGCTTGGACCGTGCATGGTGCAGATAGGCGAGGCCACGCGCTATACCCACTGCAATGCGGTGGCGAGTGTGCCATTCCAGTTTCTCCGGTGATGAATTATGGGACCCATTTTGAAGCTCCCACGTGTCAGTGCTCCAATCTTCCACGTTGGGTACTCCTGTTGGAAGCTCATGCAACCAACGGTGGAGATCACCGTTGGCCATAAATTCATAGAGTACCAACTTTTCTTTACCTGCAGACAAAGGAACAATTCCTCAAATTCATACTCCCGTTAACGTTAAGTCTTTGTCAAAAGGTATCAATCAAATGCCTCATTAAATGAATTAGGTTTAAATGTCAGATGAATCTAAAAGTGATTATTCTTCACTAAATTTTACTTAACCAGATTCTTTAAACCTAGCAGACTTACTTTTATGCTACAGTACGGCTAGGTAAGTTCCAAGTTTTCAATTCAAATCACATGCCTGGCAAGAAAATTGCAGGCAGCAGTTCAAAATTGAATCTCTCACGAAAACCGACTATTTCGATTTATGTGATGTCTTCTTAGAACTGCCATTCACGTGAACGCATTGAATATGGTTATATGGGCAGGTCAAATACACCACTGCTAAATCAGTAACTCTTTAATATTCATGAGTTAAAATAGTGTTCAGTACCTGCAATGCAATAGCCAGAAATAGGCAGCAGGTTGGGGTGTTTCAACCCTGATAAGTCTTCAAACATGGCTACAGCTTCGGCATGGCTAAGGTCCCTAACATGTTCCAGGACCTTGATTGCCACGTGAAGATCACCTGGTAGTACGGCTCTGTACACGGGCCCACACCTACCCTCTGTAAGAAGGGACTCTTTCCCAAAGTGTGATGTGGCTGCAATTAAGTCCTTAAATGTAAGGTTCATCAATGGCTTCTCAAACATCACCACCGGTGCTGAAGAGGGTTCTTTAATATCAGCCACCCATGAGGACCCAGATTCTGTTTCGAAGGAAAATGGACCCGATTTTTCGAATCTAAATGGTACTTGAATTGGCTTTGAAATTGCCCATTTGTTTTGTCTCGCCATCTTTCTCTTCTTGTACACGCAATATGTGAAAACCCCAATGGCCAAGATAAGAAATGTTGATGCAAGTGATATGGCTAAAACCAGAGTCTTGGCTTTCGATTTGGGTTTTCTTTTTTTGATGAAATTTATGTTGTCTGGTATTTGGCGAGCTGGGATGGGTGAATGATGGGGTCTAGTATGCAACGCCGGGGTGGAAGTATAATTCTGAATTTTGAAATTTCCGGCATGAATAAAAGAAGACTTATCAAATGTTTTTAACGTTTTCGAATCCATTTCACCTGAGAAGTTATTGAACGAGACATTCAAGAACTTGAGATTACCTAATGGTGGGAAATCAGCAGAAAAAATTCCAGTCAGGTGGTTATTTGAAACATCAAGATACTTCAAATGTGAAAGACCTGAAATTGGCTTTAAATTTCCTGAAATATTACAGTTAGAAAAGTTAAGAATCTCAAGTTTGGTTAAGTTGGTGAACCAATGAGGTAGAACAATTTGTAAATCATTGTGGGAAATATCAAGAAAAGTGAGATAAGGAAAATTAGAGAGAAAAGTAAAATTCTTAAACCTATTGAAAGAAAGATTGATCTTTCGAATTGCTGAAGATTTAACAATTTCAGGTTTCGGAAGCTCGACCGAGCCTCCTAATCTGTTCTTTGACAGGTTAATTTCGACCAGGGTTTTCATAGACCAAAGAGAAGAGGAAACAGAACCAGTCAAATAATTTTTGGAGAGATCTATGGTTTGAAGGTTGGACATGTTTTTGAGGAATTTCCATGAGATGGTACCTCTGAGATTTCTTGATGGGAGTCTAATTTCAAGAATTGGAGGATTTTTACAGTTGGGTTTAGAGTTGTTGAACCAGGTGATGTTGAAACCAGAAACGGAGGCGAAGGCCTTGGAGAGAAGGCTTTTGTCTGTGCTGTTGCATTTTGATTCTGCAATTGCAAAAAGTGAAATTATAAGCATGAATATCAAGAGGGTTTTCATGGTGTAATATTCACTGGTTCAAAATTTTACGGCGGTGGCGTTTAGTTTAGAGATATCAGAGAGTTGAGAAAGAAATCTTTCCTTCGAGTGTATAATATATGGGAAGAAGAAAAGCGACAAAGGAAGAGAACAATGAATGGTGGGTTTGGGCAGTGAGGTGGTTGAGCAGACATTAGACTGGACCAAAAATGATGGTCTAAATCTACTTGCCCATGCTCCATTGGATGCATGAAACACTATCGTTTATTATTTTATAATTTATAATATGATTAAAATATTATAAC